CACAAATATTCTTCTGCATTTTCTACAGCATTTTAGTTTTATCATATGAAAGTCCATTGTACTTCAAATTGGCATCTAGTGAGAGGGAAGAAGGCAGCTTGGGTTTTCTACATGACCAAGTCAGTTTCCAGCAAGCTATCCTATGAATCAAGGGTTGGAAAACTTTTTCAGTAAAGGGCCAGATAGTCAATATTTGAGGCTTTAAAGGGTATTCTACTGTCTCTGTGGCAACTACTAAATTTTTCCCTTTTAAGGTGAAGGCAGTCACAGACAATACATAAACAAAAGGGCCACTGTGTCCACATGTCACAGAATATTCTTAATTTTTAAAAAATAAGACTTTATTTTTCAAAGCAGAGAATCCCATTTACTCCCTGCCCTCTCAGAGGCACAGCATTCCCTACTAGCAACATCAAACACTGGAGTGGTACACTGGTGAACTTATGGTGACACATCTTCACCCCAAGTCCATGCTTTATGTTAGGATTCACTCTTTTTGAATTGTGTTATCTCTGGGTTTTCACAAAAGTAGAATGACATGTATCCATCATTACCGTTTCATACAGAATAGTTTCACTACCTGCTCTAGACTGAATGTTTGTGTTCTCCTAAACATCATATGTTCATTCCTAATGCCCAGTGTGATGGCATGTGGAGATGAAACCTTTGGGACATGATTATTAGGTCCTAATGGTTGAGCTCTCATGAATGGGATCAGTATCCTTATAAAAAAAGCTTTCAGAAAGCTCCTTTGCCCCCTCAGCCATTTGAGGACATAGCAAAAACAACCAATCAAAAAAGCTGTCTGTGAACCTGAAAGCAGGCTTGGGAACCGAATCTGTCAGCATCTTTTTTTTTTTCATCCAAGAGTTGAGTCTTTATTTTTTTGAATTTAGAATTTTTTTTATTTTTTTCCCATTTATTTTTATAAGTTGGAGGCTAATTACTTTACAATATTGTAGTGGGTTTTGCCATACATTGACATGAATCAGTCATGGATTTACATGAATTCCCCATCCCAATCCCCCCTCCCACCTCCCTCCCCACCCCATTCCTCTGGGTCTTCCCAGTGCACCAGCCCCGAGCACTTGTCTCATGCATCCAACCTGGGCTGGTGATCTGTTTCACACTTGATAATATACATGTTTCAATGCTGGTCTCTCAAAACAACCCACCCTCACCTTCTCCCACAAAGTGTAAAAGTATGTTTTGTACATGTGAGTCTTTTTCTGTTTTGCATGTAGGGTTATCATTACCATCTTTCTAAATTCCATATATATGCGTTAGTATACTATATTGGTCTTTATCTTTCTGGCTTACTTCACTCTGTATAATGGGCTCCAGTTTCATCCATCTCATTAGAACTGATTCAAATGAATTCTTTTTAATGGCTGAGTAATATTCCATGGTGTATATGTACCAAGGCTTCCTTATCCATTCGTCTGCTGATGGGCATCTAGGTTGCTTCCATGTCCTGGCTATTATAAACAGTGCTGCGATGAACACTGCGGTGCACGTGTCTCTTTCAGATCTGGTTTCCTCAGTGTGTATGCCCAGAAGTGGGATTGCTGGGTCATAGGGCAGTTCTATTTCCAGTTTTTCAAGGAATCTCCACACTGTTCTCCATAGCGGCTGTACTAGTTTGCATTCCCACCAACAGTGTAAGAGGGTTCCCTTTTCTCCACACCCTCTCCAGCATTTATTGCTTATAGACTTTTGGATAGCAGCCATCCTGACTGGCGTGTAATGGTACCTCACTGTGGTTTTGATTTGCATTTCTCTGATAATGAGTGATGTGGAGCATCTTTTCATGTGTTTGTTAGCCATCTGTATGTCTTCTTTGGAGAAATGTCTGCTTAGTTCTTTGGCCCATTTTTTGATTGGGTCATTTATTTTCTGGAATTGAGCTGGAGGAGTTGCTTGTATATTTTTGAGATTAATCCTTTGTCTGTTGCTTCGTTTGCTATTATTTTCTCCCACTCTGAAGGCTGTCTTTTCACCTTGCCTATAGTTTCCTTTGTTGTGCAAAAACTTTTAAGTTTCATTTTTGCTTTTATTTCCAATATTCTGGAAGGTGGGTCACAGAGGAACTTGCTGTGATTTATGTCAGAGAGTGTTTTGCCTATGTTCTCCTCTAGGAGTTTTATAGTTTCTGGTCTTACATTTAGATCTTTATTCCATTTTGAGTTTATTTTTGTATATGGTGTTAGAAGGTGTTCTATTTTCATTCTTTTACAAGTGGTTGACCAGTTTTCCCAGCACCACGTGTTAAAGAGGTTGTCTTTTTTCCATTGTATATCCTTGCCTCCTTTGTCGAAGATAAGGTGTCTGTAGGTATGTGAATTTATCTCTGGGCTTTCTATTTTGTTCCATTGATCTATATGTCTGTCTTTGTGCCAGTACCATACTGTCCTGATGACTGTGGCTTTGTAGTAGAGCCTGAAGTCAGGCAGGTTGATTCCTCCCAGTTCCATTCTTCTTTTCTGTCAGCATCTTGTTCTTGGACTGCCTGGCCTCCAGAATTGTGAAAAATAAAACTTCTGTTGCTTATGAGGTGAGGTGAATTCACTCAGTCGTGTCTGACTCTTTGTGACTGTAGTCTACCAGGCTCCTTAGTCCATGGGATTTTCCAGGCTATAAACCACCATAAAAATGGTATTCTACCATAGCAGCCCAAAAGGATAAAGAAACTGCCCTAATAATCCTCTGTGCTCTGCCAATTTATTCTTCTCCTGCCACCCTCTAGCAGCCACTGATATTTTTACTATCCCCATAGTTTTGCCTTCTCCAGAATGTTGTGTATTTGGAATCACACGGTATGTAGCCTTTTCAGATTGGCTTCATTCACTTAGGAATATGCACTTAAGGTTCCTCCATGTCATTTCACAACTTAGTAGCTTATTTCAACACTGAATGATAGTTTATTACTGAATGTAGCACAGTTTATTTATCTATTTACCTACTTAAGGACGTCTTGATTGCTTCCAAGTTTTGGCAGTTATGAATAAAGTTGCTCTACACATCTACGTGCAGGTTTTTGGTGGACAAAAGTTTTCAGCGCATTTTGATCAATACTAAGGAGCATAATTGCTGGGTTATATGGTAAGACTAGTTTTATAATGAAGTGTCAAAATTTTCTTCCAAAGCAGCTGTACCATATTACATTCCCACTGGAAGCAAATGAGAGTTCCTGTTGCTACACAGCTCACCAGCACTTGGTGTTGTCAAGGGTTTACATTTTGGCCATTCTGCTAGGTATACAGTGGTCTCACTGTTGTTTTCATTTGCCGTTTCCTACAGACATATGCTGAGCACATTTTTGTATACTTATTTGCCATCTGTTTATCTTCTTTAGAGAGATGCCTACTAAGGTCTTTGGCCCATTTTTCAGTCAAGTTTTTTGTTTTTTTAGTGTTGATTTTGAAGAATTCTTTGTATATTTTGTAAAGAAGTCCCTTATCATGTGTCATTTGCAAACATTTTCTCCAAGCCTTTGGTTTATCTTCTCATTCTTTTGATGGTGTCTTTTGTAAAGCAGAAATTCTTATTTTAATTAAACCTAACATCAATTTTTTGTTTCATGGAGTGTACCTTTGATGTTATATTTAGAAAGTTGTTGCCAAACCCAAGGTCATCCAGATTTTTCTATTTTTTTTTTCAGGAATCTTACAATTTTACATTTTACATATACAACTATGATCCATTTTGAGTTAATTTTTGTGACAGATGTAAAGTCTATGTCAAGGTTCATTTTCTTGTATGTAAATATCCAGTTGTTCCATTTGTGAAAAAGACTGTCTTTGCTCAACTGTATTGCCTTTGCTCCTTGTCAAAGATTGGTTGACTATATTGATGTGGGTCTATTCTTGGCCTGTAAGAAGAAACAGACAATCCAACAGGCCTAAGTCTATTAAAGAAATTGAATCAATAATTAATAATTTTCTGAAGCAGAAAGCACCAATCCAGATGGGTTCACTGGTAAATTCTACCAAACATTTAAGGAAGAAATTATGCCAGTTCTCTATAATCTCTTCCAGAAGACAGAAGCAAAGATCATACTTCCTAACATATTCATGAAGCTAGCATTACCCTGATAACAAAAAAAAAAAAGATAAAGACATTACTACACACCAATATCTCTCATGAACATAGATGAAAAATTCTCAACAAAAAAGATTAGCAAATTGAATGCAACAATATATAAAAATAATCAAACACCACAACCAACTGGGATTTATTCCAGGTATGCAAAGTTAGTTCAACACTCTAAACTCAAACTAATATAATTCATCATATCAGTAAGCTCAAAAAAAATCACAATAATATCAATAGATGCAAATAATTCATTTGACAAAATCCAATACTCATTCATGATTTTAAAAATTGTTGGCAAACTAGGAACAGAGAGAAATATCTTCAACTTGATTAAGAACATCTGTGAAAAATCTACAGCCCATATCCTACCTAACGGTGAGAAACTTAGAAGCTTTCCAGCTAAGACCATGAGGATGATTACTAAAAATTAGGCCTTGGAGTTTATCACAGATTACTGACAATAAGAAATCTTGAACAATCAAGAGAAAGATGTGAAGGTGCCAAGTCATTGGCTGTATTTTCACAGGAGGAACACAGTGACTTCAGGGCAAAGCAAAACCTCAGAGTAGTAAGTCAGCGGTCTCACATTTCCACTGAAATATTACTGCCAATCCAAAAACTTCTCAAGGGGTAAAAAGAAGTATCTGTCAGATAATGAACACAATCTCAAAACTCAATGCATTCTAGCCAATTCCAAAAATGATTGTGACACAAATATTAGAAAGAAGAAAAAAAATTCACCTATAGATTAGATTTCTAGTTTTTTAAAGCCACGGGTACTACAAAATAGCTTATATTCATTGCAGAATCTCACATTTTGACACCAAGAGTCATTATTATGAATGTTATTGTGTTAAACAATAAGATTTCAGTGTCTCGAGGTTACCTTCACTTAGCCCTTAAAATAAAAAAATAATCAATTTCCTTGGAAAAAAGAGCTTGCTTTCAGAAAAGCTTTATTGCACATCACATCACTGAATTAATTTGTTTGAATAAATAGCACACAAAACAAAGACTTATGTTGTGAAAATCCCTGAAGCTTCTAATCAGCAGTCTGCAAGGAGTGGAGACTTTGGTTTTGTGTCTTTTTAAGGCATACATTTCCCATTTATTTTAAAATTTTGAACATAATTGTTTTCCAAAACATTTTTCATGTCCGTTATAGAACTTCTCCCCATGAAACCGTGATTAGTGACCCTGAGATGCTACTCTTTTCTGTGAGAATGAATGTGCCCCCAAGGGACCTGGCGCATCATGCACTTTTCACAAGGCTGTGCAAGTACCAATAAACCGATCTTTGTGGGATTGCATATGCATTTGGTATGCACTTTAATTTTCACAGATATATAGAATACTCTTTTAAGTTTGTCCTTTAATACTATAGGAAAGGAGAAAACCTATACGTGAATACAAAAATATCTGATCTTCTCCAGAAATCAAAACAGTATCAAATAACAGTTGTCCTTCAGAACCAAATATGTGACTGTTAGCTGGTGACTTTTTTCTTTCTCATTATTTCTTTTGAAAGTTAAAGTCACTCAGTCGTGTCCAACTCTTGCGATCCCATGGACTATAGCCCACCAGGCTCCTCTGTCCTTGGAATTTTCCAGGCAAGAATACTGGACTGGGTTGCCATTTCCTACTCTAGGGCATCTTCCCCACCCAAGGATCAAACCCAGGTCTGCACTACAGGTAAATTCTTTACCATCTGAGCCACCAATGATTACTGGATAGAGAGCAACCTTCCCGTCTCTCAGATGACCACTGAGAATGGTCCAGGTCAGTGTTAGTGACTTGGCTGACATCAGACCAGGAAATGTTTCTACTGATGACACAGTCAGCATAGTCAAAATAACTGGAAGCGAGAGTAAAGAAAGGTATGGGAAACGTATTCTAAAACTATGGCAAAGCAAACAGGACAAGAATCCAAAAGTTTTCCTCATCAAAGTGGGTTTTTTTTTTTAAATAAACCTAGCACAAAGCTATAGACATTAAATATTGCTTTAAAAATATAAACATAGTTCTTGATGAATTATAGTCATCAATTTGCTCAAAATAGTAGTCTTCAGACATACTACAACTGATAATACCCATTTTTATCTCCCAACTCATTTATATAATATACCCCCTCCAGAGCACAGATTAGCCTAACAGCTACTTTTTACAACAGCAGAATATAGATACTGCAGTGTCTTCTTCTAATCGGTACTTTCCAGAATTAGGCAGATCTTTGCACTCTGATATAAATAAACGAAGTTCAGTCTCAGGAAAGCCATCTTGTTGGTAATGCTATATAGAAAGAAAGAAAAAAAAGTTTTCATTAGTAAGTCCCTTGAGAACAGCTTTATTTCAAATTCAGAGTGGATCATTTGGCTGCAGGGGTGGGATGCATGCTAAGTCGCTTCAGTCGTGTCCAATTCTGTGCGACCCTATGGTCAGGCTCCTCTGTCCCTGGGTTTCTCCATGGAATACTGCAGTGGATTGTCATGCCCTCCTCCAGAGGATCGTCCCAGCCCAGGGATCGAACTTGCATTTCTTACATCTACTTGCATTGGCAGGCAGGTTCTTTACCACTAGTGCCACCTGGGAAACCCACAGGGGTGGGTTAGGTACGGATTTTTCTAAAGGGGTAGTTCACTCGCTTCCATGTATTTTCATGGCGATGGAGCCTCTAGAGCCACTCTTAGGTTTGGCTAAGGAAAAGTGGGTCTAAGATTCTGCAGTGCCCTCCTGGGCTCTCTTTCATGGATCTGAGTCAACCTGAAATGGACATGTTGAATCTGAATCTGAGACCTCCTTCCAGGGAAAATCCAGCCTGCACACCCTTTTGGAGTCTCTCTTCCAGATGGACAGATTTATATAAGGGTCTAATATTTATTTCAGTTCGGGATCTAAGATCCCGAGAACTGGACCTGGGACAGAAAGAATCAGAAAGGACTCGTCCATGTGACAAGTGCCCCGAGTCCGTGGAAAGAGGTTAACATCTAAACTAAGAGTGTTAGGCTTGTGTCAAGAGCTGTCCATTCACGTTACTCTTTGAGACCTCAGATATCATCACCCTTGAATAACATATAGCTTTCCTTTTTTTAATTTTTTCGTTTCTTTTTTTTTTTTTTCAATTTATTTTTATTAGTTGGAGGCTAATAACTTTACAATATTGTAGTGGTTTTTGCCATACATTGACATGAATTAGCCATGGATTTACGTGTGTCCCCCATCCCGATCCCCTCCCCCACCCACTTCCCTCCCCATCCCCTCTGGGTGTTCCCAGTGAACCAGCCCCGAGCACTTGTCTCATGGATCCAACCTGGGCTGGAGATGTTTCACTCTTGATAGTATACTTGTTTCAATGCTATTCTCTCAGAACATCCCACCCTTACCTTCTCCCATAGAGTCCAAAAGTCTGTTCTGTACACCTGTGTCTCTTTTTCTGTTTTGCATGTAGGGTTATGGTTACCATCTTTCTAAATTCCATATATATGAATTAGTATACTATATTGGTCTTTATCTTTCTGGCTTACTTCACTCTGTATAATGGGCTCCAGTTTTATCCATCTCATTAGAACTGATTCAAATGAACTGATTCTTTTTAATGGCTGAGTAATATTCCATGGTGTATATGTACCAAGGCTTCCTTATCCATTCGTCTGCAGATGGGCATCTAGGTTGTTTCCATGTCCTGGCTATTATAAACAGTGCTGCGATGAACACTGCGGTGCACGTGTCTCTTTCAGATCTGGTTTCCTCAGTGTGTATGCCCAGAAGTGGGATTGCTGGGTCATAGGGCAGTTCTATTTCCAGTTTTTCAAGGAATCTCCACACTGTTCTCCATAGCGGCTGTACTAGTTTGCATTCCCACCAACAGTGTAAGAGGGTTCCCTTTTCTCCACACCCACTCCCACGTTTATTGCTTGTAGACTTTTGGATAGCAGCCATCCTGACTGGTGTGTAATGGTACCTCATTGTGGTTTTGATTTGCATTTCTCTGATAATGAGAGATGAGGAGCATCTTTTCATGTGTTTGTTAGCCATCTGTATGTCTTCTTTGGAGAAATGTCTGTTTAGTTCTTTGGCCCATTTTTTGATTGGGTCATTTATTTTTCTGGAATTGAGCTGCAGGAGTTGCTTGTATATTTTTGAGATTAATCCTTCGTCTGTTGGTTCATTTGCTATTATTTTCTCCCACTCTGAAGGCTGTCTTTTCACCTCGCGTACAGTTTCCTTTGTTGTGCAAAAGCTTTTAAGTTTCATTAGGTCGCATTTTTTTATTTTTGCTTTTATTTCCAATATTCTGGGAGGTGGGTCATAGAGGATCCTGCTGTGATTTATGTCGGAGAGTGTTTTGCCTATGTTCTCCTCTAGAAGTTTTATAGTTTCTGGTCTTACATTTAGATCTTTATTCCATTTTGAGTTTATTTCTGTGTATGGTGTTAGAAGGGTTTCATTCTTTTACAAGTGGTTGACCAGTTTTCCCAGCACCACTTGTTAAAGAGGTTGTCTTTTTTCCATTGTATATCCTTGCCTCCTTTGTCAAAGATAAGGTGTCCATAGGTACGTGGATTTATCTCTGGGCTTTCAATTCTGTTCCATTGATCTATGTTTCTGTCTTTGTGTCAGTACCATACTGTCCTGATGACTGTGGCTTTGTAGTAGAGCCTGAAGGCAGGCAGGTTGATTCCTCCAGTTCCATTCTTCTTTCTCAAGATTACTTTGGCTATTCAAGGTTTTTTGTATTTCCATACAAATTGTGAAATTATTTGTTCTAGTTCTGTGAAAAATACCATTGGTAGCTTGATAGGGATTGAACTGAATCTATAGATTGCTTTGGGTGGTATACTCATTTTCACAATATTGATTCTTCCAATCCATGAACACAGTATATTTCTCCATCTATTTGTGTCCTCTTTGATTTCTTTCATCAGTGTTTTATAGTTTTCTATATATAGGTCTTTTGTTTCTTTAGGTAGATAAGTATTTTATTCTTTTTTGTTGCCATGGTGAATGGTATTGTTTCCTTAATCTCTCTTTCTGTTTTCTCATTGTTAGTGTATAGGAATGCAAGGTATTTCTGTGTGTTAATTTTATATCCTGCAACATTACTGTATTCATTGATTAGCTCTAGCAATTTTCTGGTAGAGTCTTTAGGGTTTTCTATGTAGAGGATCATGTCGTCTGCAAACAGTGAGAGTTTTACTTCTTCTTTTTCTATCTGGATTCATTTCTTTTTTGCTCTGATTGCTGAGGCCAACACTTTCAAAACTATGTTGAATAGTAGTGGTGAGAACATATATCTTTCTCTATGCAGAGGTGAAGGCAGTGAACTTTTAGCACATCGTGAGAAGGGATTTGGACAGGTACAGCTACATTCTTTCCAGTCTCCTTGGTGACTCTAAGCAAGTCAGTCAAGTGAGCATTGAGGACAGTCAGTTCTTGACATCTGATTCAGTAAGAATGATGTCACAGCCCTGGTTGCCTGAACAAGGTATATGTAATTACCAATATATAATCCATCAACTCGTGATCATCTTTCTCCTTATCTATTCACATGACATCATGTTTCATTACCCCTCTCATGTTCAGAAACAGATGTCCCCAAATGGAAGTGTCTATGCCAATAATATACCTAATGTGCTACTACTAACATGTGTGTGCAGGCTAAGTTGCTTCAGTCATGTCTGACTCTTTGCAACCCCATGGACTGTAGCCCATCAGGCTCTTCTGTCCATGGGATTCTACAGGCAAGAATACTGGAGTGGATTGCCATTTCCTTCTCCAGGAGATCTTCCAACCCAGGGATCGAACCCAAGTCTCCTACATCTCCTGCATTAGCAGACAGGTTCTTGAGCCACTAGAACCATGTGGGAAGGTTATTAGAAATTTGAATACATGTGGATATTTATTCTGCCTTTCCATATTTCAAAGGACTCAAACTGATTTTTAAAATCCAGTGTGAATAACAGTATTAGTGACTGAAAGTCAGACACAACTGAGGGACTAAATAACAGCTTTTCAAATCATGCTCCTAAATGTGGAACACATACATGGTGAGTTCTTGACCTATCAGTTCCCTGACTGTTCTGGAGATGAAGCCTCTGGGGTGGTCCCAAGAAGGGCCTAGCAGAATGATGCATTCAGTTACAGCACACTTCAAATAAAAAGGTCTATTTTTCTTCATGAAAATTGGATTTTAAAAGCATCCCACAAAATTTTGATCATCTGAAATGCCATGTTTCACTCCCCAACACCTAATGATCCTTATAATGCTAATAAAAGATTAGAAAGCTTGTTTGAAAACACACAGTTACTCAAAGACAAAACTTTCAACATTTCAGAAATTCTGTTTCTCAGGATCTAAAATTGAAGTCCTTTTCTCTACTCTGAAGAAATTACCATTCCATTGATCTCCTCCCCGTTAGGTACTGTATTTTATTGACTCTCTACAAGTTCTAGAAAAATGTCACTCCTCGTGGTTCTAGATGAACCTACCTTAATTGTTTCATATGTATCAGTGATCAGTGCAATGAAAAGACTTAAAATCATGTATATAAAAAGGCTGATGAATGAGTAGAGGTAAATTCTGCTAAACAGCCAGACCAGGTAACTTTTTTGCTGCATTTTCGCAAATGTGGCAAACATATCATCTCCATTTATCAGTGAGAAAAGACACTCAGAAACCATGTTCAGAGAACGGAACTGCAAAAAAAAAAAAAAATTCATTTTATTTCATGTTCCCTCCCACCGGAGACTTTGATCATGACTCCATAATAAAAATAGAGGAACTAGATATCCCAAGTTACCCTTTCAAACAAACACCCTTGGGTAACCACAGGCATTTTTTTTTTAAACAAGAGAAAATCAAACAAAATTTTAGTAACATGTACACAATGGAGACAACTAGGAAAAGTCATTCCTATAGACATTTGTTTTGTGATCTACATAGTATGCACATGCCTACTGTTTTCTTGGAACAAGGAGCGCCTTCTTGATGTTCCTCTTCATAGGAGGAGCCTGAACTGAAGAAGAAAAACACTGAAGGTACAGACCAGCTCCTATGAGTCAAGCCTTACCCTCTCCTTTACTTTTCTGTAGAAAGAGATCCTTGAAATGCTTCTCCAGAGAATTCAGGTCTCGAACAGGAATGCTCATGCTTCTGTTCTAAAGTTCATTCCATTTAAGATGATGGTATTATAGTCAAGAATATAACTCTAGTAAACAAAATTTTCAAATATTTCTACAAGTTTCTCCTTATACTACTTTTAAAAATAAAGTCACATTTCAATAAAAATTACCTAAATAGCCCATCAATATATATTGATAAATCAAATTGTCAAACCTGGCTTCACTGGAAGGACTTAACTATCTGACACAGTTCACAAAAGGAGCTGAGGTGAACAATTGAATCAACCATCCTCTTACATCGATCTTACCTTGTGTGTGTGCTCAGTCACTTCAGTCGTGTCCAACTCTCTGCGACCCCATGGATTGTAGCCTGCCAGGCTCCTCTGTCCATGGGATTCTCCAGGCAAGAATACTGGAGTGGGTTGCCCTGCCCTCCTCCAGGGGATTTTCCCGACTCAGGGATTGAACCCACATCTTTTACATGTCTTGCATTGGTAGGCAGGTTCTTTGCCACGAGTGCCACCTGGTCTTACCTCACCAGTTTAAAAACATGGCAACAGACACAATACCTTCAACATTCTAAGGCCGAGTCACAAAGTAAAAGGAGCTTATTTTAAAAGAGTAAGAAGACACTGGTACTACCCTGAGAGCTTAATAGCAACAGAGAAAGTTGTTTATCAGTACCTTATCATGATAAGGCCCCAGCACAATCCATCCACAGAAGCAATAGCCTAAATAAATCATGGCTGCACAGCAGCAGAACCTGATGACATTGGGCAGTGCCGCCTGGAGGGTGAGAATGAGGAGCTGGGAAAGTAAAAGAGGTCATTAGAATCCCTTTGTCCTTCAAACAAAGCAGTGCAGTAACTTTAAAAGAGAAATACCAACAGCTTGGAGATCTGTGGAGTTCCTTACATTGTATTTCTGAAAAAAACCAAAGTAGCGGATAACTCCAAGCCACACAAGCATGGTAGAAGTCCCAAGAAGTATGCTACAGACATCATAACTTGTTAGACTCTAAAACACAGTGGAAAAAAATTGTCAGTTATATAGCAGAAATTCATTGGGGCAAAAATTATTTATTGAGTAGCAAAGAGCTGGGCACCATTCTAAGTGCTAAGGACAAAGTAGTGAACACACAAAATTCCCTGTCCTCATGAGGTTTACATTCTAGTCTATGTAAAGAGAGATGATAGAAATTAATTAGCGAAACTCTTCATACATGAAAGGATGGTAAGTGGTGAGGAGAAAATTCAGGGGAGGGGACAGAGGATGGCTGTGTACTGCATTTCAAAGGGGTGATCAGGGAAGGTCTTACTGAAAAGGTGGCATTTGAGCAAAATGAAGGGAGTGAGGGAGCAAACCAAGCAAGAATCTAAGGGAAGAGCTTTCCAGGCAGAGGGACCAGTGTCTGCAGAGGCACAAAAGCAGGAGGGCATCTGGCAAGGTAGTGGGTCTGGCTAGAGAACAATAAGGAAGAGTAAGGAGTCACCAAGGTGAGGGAGCAGGTAGTCATTTCAGTTCAGTTCAGTTCAGTTCGGTCGCTCAGCCGTATCCGACTCTGCAACTCCATGAACCACAGCACTCCAGGCCTCCCTGTCCATCACCAACTCCCAGAGTTTGCGCAAACTCATGTCCATTGAGACGATGATTGTTTTAGGTATGTTAAATTTGTGAAGCTGAGTAGACATTCATTTCTCATGATGTACTCTGCATGCAGGTACTTTAGAGTTTCACAAGTATAATTTAACAACTTTGCCTTTTACTCTGAATAGATGGGGGAGATTGAGAGCTCTAAACAGGAGTGCTATAATCCAATGTTGGCTCTGCGGTTGACAGCAGACTGTGGAAGAGAGAGATGGCTACTGCAATAATGCAGATGAGAGCTGATGGTGCTTTGGGCCAGGCTGGGAATGGTGGAGGTGATGAGGTGATTTCTGAAGGTAGACAAATAGGATTTTCTCTTGGATGAGATATGGAGGAGAGGGAATTAGTGAAAAAGAGGAGTCAAGGGTGAATCTATGGTTTTTTTCTTTGAACAACTGAAAAGAGCTGCCATTAACTGAAATTTGAAAGGCCACAGAGAAGTGAGTTTTGACTATGGAGGTGGAGTAGTTTCGTCATTCAGTCACTCAGTCGTGTCCAACTCTTTGCCACCCCATGGACTGCAGCACGCCAGGCTTCCCTGTCCATCACCAACTCCCAGAGTTTGCGCAAACTCATGTCCATTGAGATGATGACTGTTTTAGGTATGTTAAATCTGTGAAGCTGAGTAGACATTCAAGTGAAGATGTGGAAGAAACAGTTTGAGACTGGAGGTCAGGGAATAATTCCAAACTGGAGAAACAGATTTGAAAATCATTGGAAAATAGGTACTATTTAAGGCAATAGGATAGGATAAGATCACAAAACAATGGTAGAAAAATGAGGTGTCTAAGCATGGTGCCTTGAAGCTCTGTTACTTAAATAGCTTGGTGAAATGAGAGGGAACAGCAAAGGGAAGTGAAGACCAGCCATGATTCAGGAGAAAAATTAGGTAAGTGACAGCCAGTGAAGAAACTCATCAACAAAGAAAGTGCTTGCAATGTTAAAAAGCTAATGGGTCAAAATGAGGATAAATCACCGAATGTCAGACACAGCAACAGTTACAGTTCATTGGAAAACACACCTTCCATGTGGCCTGATTAGAACAGTTACAAGAGAGAACGGGATGAACAGAGTCAGAAACAGTACTAAATACTCTTTTGAGGTCTTTTGCTATGTAAAGGAGAGCAGAGAATGTGGAAGTAGCTGGAGAGAAAATAGGTTGAGATTTTGTCTTTTTAGAAAGGAAAAAAAAAACAAGAAAACATGCTCATGGAAATGCCATGGTAGAGAACAGGAAATTAAGGATGCATAAGAAACAGAGAAAGAATAGCTGGAGCCATGCTCTGGAACAAGCAAGTAGGGACAGCATCTGATAGGCACGTGGAGGAGTTGGCCCTGGACAGTAACCTAAATATTATATCCACAGTAACAGAAAACACAAGGTGTATAGGCATTGATGCTGATGGGTAGATAAATGAAGTGGGAATTTGTAGAATTTCAATTCTGTTTATCATTTTGTGAAACAGAAAGTGGGGTCATCAGCTGAAAGAAAGGATGGGAAAGAGGTATTAGAAGTTTCAAGTGAGAAAAAAATATGAAATGATCAGCTAGAAAGCAGGGGGAATGCATGGTCTAGAAAAATGTAGAAAGACTGCTGGACACCATTAAGGGCTCACTGAAGTTAATGGTAGGTGAGATTAGTAAAAATGAAGATTTGCTGCAAATCTCCCCCTACGTCTCTTTATTTGTTCCCTAAAGTTAAATATCTATTTCAATGATATATATTACCCTGGCAGATAGTGACAGCTGCTCCATGGCTTCTAAACTCACTCTCTCTTTTTGAGGTACATGTGCGGGCTGTCTCCCCCAGCTCCCTTGCAGTCACATGTGACTAAATTTTCTCCAGCAGGACTGGACAGAATGAAGGCTGCCATTCTGGGCCAAGGCATAAGACTGTAAGAGACCTACTACCTACCACACCAGGTTTTCCCTTCCATGGGCTGCACCTGTTCATGAGACAATCCAGCATCAATCATGCAGTCTGGGTGAGCCTTCAATGGTCATCGGAGAAAAAGATGGGAGAAACTTAGATTCCTGAATGACTGTGTGGAGCTGAGTAATGTGCCAGGCTGGAAAACCCACCCTGACAATTACATGAGGGAGAAATAAGCTCTTCTCATATCTGAGCTATTGCATTTGAGATTTCTGCCCAGGAATCTGAACCAAAACAGGCTCCCCATGTGGTTCATACTCATCCTTAATTGCAGTTGAGGATAGAAAAACATAAACTGAACAAGATTGGTTTGAACAGTATTAGTTTTTTTTCTTTTTTTGCTTTGGGGGAGGGTTGATATACAATCTGGATTAGTCCTAACTTAAAATGGAAAACCTTGTAGTACATCAATGGTAACAGTAAGAAAATGGGAATATTCTCAATTTGAATGTACAGAGGAACAACTGCAAGGACTTGCACAATAGAATTGTGGCCTCACTCGCCAGCTCCTGCGCACAGTCCAACCCTTTCTATTGAAGATTCTGGCATTCCTTGTAAGAACAACAACAAAAATCTTTTACCTTAGTTATCTTGGTGTGTGTATGACTTTAAGTGTGTGCAAGAATTCATAGGCCCCAACCCCAGAGTTCACATTCAGTAGGTCTAACGTGGGGTATTTTATCAGATACCCAAATGACCCTGATTCAGAGGTCTGTAAATCACACTTTGAAAAACAGTCTAAAATATTTCCTGACTAGATTCTTACAAATTACTGTTATTTCAGGTTTACTCAAAACAAGGTTTGAAAAAAATCTTGTACTCTGTGAATCCTTACATTTTGGAAAAATAAATGACAGTCAAGGCAAATCTGATACTAACAATGACATAAATAGGAAAAAATTTTACCTTAGCTTGAATTTCCATTTTTAGAATTGATCCAATGATGGTCAATATGTCACTAATAATAATCATAATGTACCATCCATTGACGAATTCCATTCGATCAGAAACAGAAACTTCTTTCTTATAATGGAGGAGGAAAAAATTGACAAATTCCTTTAGGGAAAAGAGGGAAAGCATGGTGAATTTCTGTCAATCAAAACGACCAGTGCATTCCTAGAAAGCAGTGACTCCTACCTGCTGAAGCTGAAGTCCTCTCACCACAGATCGAACACACAGGATTAACGAAGCCAAGCATGTCAGAATAATGAAGACATCAAAGATCATCATGTGATGAGTGTTCTTCTGAACTGGAGGAAAGAAGGTTACCTGCTTATGTAATGGAACATCAATGTGGTGACATTCACTTCTACTCTTTTTCCCCCCATTTTTAGCCTCATTTATTTTAACAGCTGCATTGCATTGTTTCAGTACAGATGTACAATACTTTATTTGTAAGGATGTTCAGGCTGTAATCTGGTTTTCACTACTACAATCCATGCCCCAGGTCCTCTTTGTGCACAGGTTCAGGTGATTCTTTAGGTGGATGAATATCCAAAGAAGGAATTGCTGGGTTAAAGCATGTGCATCTTTCTAAAAATAGATCTAAGAAACTGCTCTCTAAAAATATTATGCCAGTTTACATACCTACACACATCACCACATCTTCTTCATCATTGGACATCAGTATTCATTAATTTTTACCAATAAAAGGAGCAAATGATGTGAAATGCCATTTTTATCATGTACCAAATGGCTGTTGAATGTATTCAAGTACCATATCTTCCCTTTCCAATTTTTTTGTGTGTTTTAATGCCTAAGAGAAATACGTCTCATTACTTTATTAGAATTTCTGCTGGCTTGTCTTGCTTATTATTTTTCCATATTTCTTCAGGATCAAAGTGTCGAATTCCAATAAAAATCTTACTGTTAATTTTTTGGGGGAATCATGCTGAATTTATAGATTAATCTAGGGAGAATTGACATGTTCACATTAAATCACTTGATGAAAAACATAATGTGTCAAGTCTTTTTTTTTTTCCATCCTTCAGAAATATTTTCAAGTTTTATATGGATCCTTCTTCACACTCATGCTTAGAATAATTTTAAAAATTCAAGTATTCTTTCCACAAAGATAACACACAGAAAGGCTCTGATACAGATTCTTCTGTTAGTATTTAAAGAAGGTTAAAGTCCTCAAAACCATGTATCAAAGATCTTTAACTATCACCCGTCATCTTTTGTTCTTAATACAGTAAGGGTTCCTGCATATCCTATTTAAATATACTTATCTAGGCATAAAATACTCATTAAGCATCAGGTGCATTTTCACATGCTGAGAATACAATGGTGAACAAGACAGATAGAGTCCCTGACCTTGTGGAACTTCTACTCCAGTGAGATAAGAGAAAAAAGTAAAGAAGTAAATGAACAAACTACTTCCTGACAGGAGTAAGTGATAGGAAGAAAGTAAATCCAAACAGCTACTAAGTGTATTTCCTACCTGGCATAGTTTCAAGCATTTTTGAAAATTTAACTCATCTGCACCTCACAGTAACCCCACAAGGTAGGTATGATTATCCCCACTTTGCAGGTGAGAAAACTGAAGCCCAGAGGGGTCACAGAACTTGCCTAAGAGTCCATGGCCAGTAAGTGCAGAGTCAGTGTTCAAACCTTTGCAGTTTGTCTCCAGCATCTGTCACTGTTAGTAGTTCTTGGCATCTCTTTGGAACTTGTTAGAAATGAACTCCCTCCTGCCTTACCCGAGCCCTACTAAATAAAAAACTGCTTTCCTAAGCTCTCCAGGTAACACTAAAATTTGAGCACCACTGCTGAGGGAGCTTTGGGAGAGGGAAGGGGGAGAAGAAAGGTTCGTTTGTACAACACAGTGAAGGAAGGCCTCACTAGAGGCAGTGGCTCTTAGCTGAGACTTGAATGACAAGGCAGAGCCACCCACACAGAGATTCTGGCAATCAGTCCTCCCAGCAGAAGCACAGCTACGTGAAAAGCAGAGGGTGGCCGGCACATGCTCTCTCACAGCGCTTGTCTTACTTAACAAGTTGGGCTGCTCTCTGCTGATGGAAAGAAGCAACCCATAATTTTGTCAAGAGGCATCTAAATGTTCTATGAAGGATTAAATCTACTTCAGGAAAACTTAAAATCCAAGAAACAAACATTTGCGAGAAAGCTTATGTGCCAGGCACCTTCATAGGCTCTCATTTTTCCTATTCCCAAGTGTATGAAGTATTAAGACGTTTACAGATGACAAAACAGGCTTGTGTTTCAAATAAACAATTTTGTGATTGAAATTTTATAATTGAGGTTTGTGAGTCCAGATCTTCATATATTTGAAGTTACCTATTAGTGAAAAGAATACTAAAATGAAGACATTTTATTTCATTTATTTGCGCTATCTTATTACTACTTCTGAACTTTGTGAATCCATTAGTAAGGAACCCTAAAGTAATTATTATCCAAGTATGGTCTGAATAAGGACTCTCTGTACATTCCTGGGTCTCACCACCAGACCTACTGACTGTCTTGTGTGAAGCTGGGAAAACTGCATCTTAGCAGGTACTTGGAATGGTGCTTTTTGCTCACTAGAATCCAAGACCCTCTGACCTAATCATTAAAGTCAAGCACAACACACTATCACACACCACTACAAGGAACTAAGATCAATTCTTTCCAGTTGGTTTGATCCAGTTCAGCTCCAAAATTCTCAGGGATACTCAGTTTACACTTGAGTTTGTGTCCATATTTCTAGGACTGTACTCTGTCCTTATTTCATCTACTTTTTGACATGGATAGAAGATAATTATAATGTGTGGGATATTTCAGGGTCAAATCCTACCTGACTTCTCCCTGGATGTATAACCACTGACACCAAAATTCACTTCTGAGCCTTAGTTTCTTCATCTGTGAAAAAGGGATGCTACCTATCTCAAAGATATTTTAAAACACGGAAGTAAGGAAAGTGTAGGTCAAAGTACTTATGCAATAAACACTCAATAAATATTGGTTTGAGTAGATGTAATTATTTTTGTTCTTGGGGGAATTATAAGCACTTCTTTTTGGTAAGGACTAGCCAGTGAAGGCTCATGGAAAAGGAAAGAAAAACCATTTACATTACTAATAACTTATGAATTACTTGGAACATTAGATAACTAAAATGCATTAGGGACTTGGACGTGATCCAATTCTTTCATTAGATGTTCCACATATCCTTGGGACCAGTAATTTAATAACCATTTAATATTATTTATTAACCATTTTGAAAACTAGTAAAATTCATTACTTACTTGATCCAGATACATGCCAGTCTTTACATTCTCTGATGGAAATGTCATTATCTAAACTTATCTTAATTCTTCCACTGTGGGCTTTGTTGTCAAAAGTTATCTGTGAAGAACAGGAAAAGAGTCAAAAATATATCTACTACTTTTATTTTATTTTAAATCTTTTTTTTTTTTTAATTTACTACTTTTAAAGCCAAGGTGCTGCTATGCATTCATTAGGAAACAATTCTCCCAAAGTTACAGGAAACCCAGACCCTCAACTCTCACCTGATGCTAACTCCGTTCAACCTCAGGAAGTTCCCTTTATTTCTCTGTGAGCTGAGAAAGTTGAGTTAGATCTTCCATAAAGAATGTTTAGTCTCTAAAAATCCTAAGTTTCTAGGATAGTACTCAAGCCCTGAACCACTTGTAAAACAAGAGAACTTCCCCCTCCTCTCATTCCAAGCACCTCTAGACGTCCTCCTGAGCAAGTACAAGCACGTTTTTCCCTTCTTCCAGCACAGCCTTGGCTAGGGATAGATTTTTAATGTTGTTCTTACTAACACAGATGTTCATTACTTCTGTCTTGAAACATTTCAGGTGGAGCTTTTTCACTTTTCCTTCTAAGATTCGTTTTCTTTGTCACTCTGGAACCGTTGTACAATATCACAAAGGATGTGGTCACAGGGAACCAACAGTGTGTATGGCTTCAGTGCTAACTGTTTTGGGACACCGGGCACCAACAGGACAAAGCCATGCCAGAACACCTTTCATAGCTCTTCCACCATCTTCCCCTTCAGGCTCCCCCCACCTTCTCCTTGCAGACACTTGGAAGGCAAACTAAGGAAATTAGTCTGCTTTGGGGGTTTTGTTTTCATTTTTGGTGTCTCTTCTCTCAAGTCCTAAAGTAAAAGGAAAGTTCTTTTCAAGTCTGCCATTTGTTGTGTTAGTCATTCAGTTGTGTCTAACTCTTTGTGACCCTATCGACTGTAGCCTGTCAGGCTCCCCTGTCCATAGAATTCTCCAGGCAAGAATTCTGGCGTGGGTTGCCATTCCCTTCTCAGTGGGGTCTTCCAGACCCAGGTATCAAACTTGGGTCTCCTGCATTGCAGGTGGATTCTTTTAGATGAGTTTAATTGAAAATCTTCATGTGGGGTAATCAGATATCACTTCAGACAAAAGATTACAAATAAACTTAGCAAGTCTAGTTACTTTGTTTCCCCTCATGTTAGACTATAAATTTCTTCCCATGACAAGCAACCAAGGATATTGATAATGTATGCCCATCTTTATCATTGCTGAGACCCAGCCTCACACAAGGAAGATGCTCAGTACTATCTGAATGAGTCAGAAATCTTTGCCAAGAATAAACCATTCTTTGCCCACACAAAGAGCCTCAGGGTCTTACAAATAATAGGTGCTCATTAAATATCGAATAAACTCTGACTTAATGTCAATCACATCTAAGCAAGGTTTAGAAGAAACTGAATTCTTTAAATAAAAAAGAAAAAATACTGAGTGTAACTAATAACAGATTAGATAATATAGGAAAAAAGATTAGTGATTTGAAGTCACAGCAATAAAACTATTCAAAGTGAAGCACAGAGAAAATAATAGAAAATTAAATAAAAGGAAGAGGACAACTTCATGTGCCCAAATATACACGTTATTGGAATCTTTGAAAAGTAAGGGCAAAGAGATAGAAAAATATTTGAAGAAATAACACTGAGTAAATGTCAAACATAATAAAAACTATAAACCCACAGATCCAAGATAGTCAATGAACCCCAAATACAAGAAACATGAAGAAAACTACATAAAGGTATATCAGAATCAAACCATTGAAATCAGAGATGAAGAGAAAATTTTTTAAAGCATCCAGAGGGGGCAGAAATACATCCCATACAGAAGAACAAAGATGAAGAAGACAGCAGATTTCTCATCAGAAACAATATAAACAAAAGAGCAAAATTTTTAAAGTTCCAGAGTAAAAACAGCCAGGCTAGAAGTCTATACCTCATGAAACTACCTTTAAAAATCAAAGGTGAAATACTTTTTCAGACATACAGAAGCTGAAAGAACTTATTACCAGCAGATCTGCATTATAAGAAATATTAAAGGAAGCCCTTTATGCAGAAAGAAAACCACACCAGGTGGTTTTTATGTTATACATGTACTGGCACACCATCACTTGAAAGTAAGCTGTAGTAAGTTAAATAGGTGTACTACAAACTATAAAATAACACAACAAAGAGCTATAGCTAATAAGCTAACATATGAGATAGACTGGAATCCTAAAAAAACACTCAGTTAATCCAAAAGAGGGCAGAAAAAGAAAGAAACCATATTAATAATTTCATGCAATTTAAATGATATAAGCACCTTAATTAAAAGGTAGAGAGTGTTAGGTTGGATTAGAAAAGCAAGACTCAACTATATGTTGTGTAACAAGAAACCTACTTTAAATATAAGATAGAAATAATTTAAAAGGATGAAAAAAGATATGCCATGCTAACACTAGTTATAAGAAAGTTGGAATGGTTATATTAACATCAAAGTAAATTTTAGAGCAAAGAATATGATAAGGGTTAAAAAGTGCCATTTCACAATGATAAAAAAGTCAGTTCAAGTGAACACAAAAAACCCTAGATGTTTATACACTTAATAAAGAGCTTCAAAATACAAGTTGCAAGAATTCATCAAACTCCTATGAATGAATGCTAATGCACTACTTTCATATTATGAACCCAACTGGGCACACACAAGGTAACCTTAATAAATAGCTGTTGACTCAAACATCTACCACATATCAGATAATTTGGTAGGTCCTTCATATGTGCTGTATTTTATCTTGACAACAATTTTGTCAGGTAGGTGGGCATTAATTTGGCTTTACAAATGAGAAAACTGAGGCTCACACCAATTAAATAATTTGCCTAAAATTACATAGCTACTAACTGGTAAGCTAACATTAAACTCTACATTTGTTTGACTCCAAAGTCTTGTATTTTACATCAGGGATATACTGCCACAGCTCATGTTTATTTATGGCAGAAGTCACACTAATGGCTTTTATTATCAAATTACCTGATAGGATATAGTTTCCACAACAGTTCTATGAGATGCACTGCTAAATACACAATGAACAGACATAGCTGTGGATAATTCTCCAAGAATGGCAAAAATATAACACCTGCATGTGGCTAAAGGCCAGGATGCTTCACGTTGTAGTGCGTCATGGGAAAAGATCTACATTTCACTAGTGTTTTGCTTGCTCATTCAACAAATATCTGAGTCACCTACTATATTTTCTGAGAGATGAAAAGATAAAACAGCTCCTGCCTTCAGGGAACTTTCATTCTAGTGGAGCTGATGATAGGCATCTAGAAAAACTTAAAGGAGAAAGTAGTAAGACATACAATACAAAACAAAAACAAAATCTAAGGCTTCAAAGCACAGAATGTATTTCTAACTGAGGAATCATAAAGAGGTCCATGAAGAAGGTCTCAGTTGACCAAAGCCTTTAAAGATTATAAGGCTTTTTAAAAGTATCATTTCTCTATAAGAGAGAGGCAGACAGTGAGAGAGAAGACTGTGAATAACAGCTCAATTTTTAAAAAAATCATGTAATTTTGAAAACTCACAACTTGCTGGTTACTGTTAAGATCAAAATGTGTAGCCCAAATATAGTCTTAAAGAATTATTGCTTTTTCTTATTAAACAATATGCATAATTATTATATTATACGACATCCTAAAATATATTTAATCTCAGTTTCTGAAAGCTTGATTTCTAACAGCCAATTAGTTGAGTACCATGGACATAACTTTTGATACAAACTATTACTGTGGTACTAAGAAATCTGGACCATATGAAGGCAAGCCATTACCAAATGCTGTCCTGCATATGCCCCTCAGCACTGCGTTACTGACTCTGATCCTTGTGAGGTGATGAACCAGCATGAGAGGCATCTTGTGCTCCATAGAGAGCATTAAAGCTCCATCTGCAACTGAAATGCAGAGAAGAGGAAACTAACCAGAACTTTCAGAGGCAGCATGCAGGAGGCACTGTGAGCAATAACTTCCATTGGCTGCAAATATCCACAGTGAGGAAACTCAGCAGCAAGAACCCTTGGCAATGATCTTAAGCAGACTGCCACCGACTGCTGAGAGCTAACCATACAAACCTACAAACCTCTGTTCTTTTTGTTTTCCAGATGCTGTTCTTTGTCCTGAAGACTCAGCAGTGAACAAGACAAGGTCCCTGCCCTCAGAGAACTTACATTGAGGTATAGAAGACCAATGATTAACAACTAAACAAGTGGGTACAAGAGTCCCTCCCCTTTATCCAAGATCCCCAGTGGATGCCTGAAATCACAGATAATACCAAACTTCATATATAATATTTTTTCTATACATACACACCTTTGATCAAGTTTATAAATTAGGCACAGGAGAGTAAAAACAATAATAATAATAATAAAGTGGGCTTCCCTGGTGGCACAGTGGTAAACAATCCACCTGCAATGCAGAGACGTAGGTTCGACCCCTGGGTTGGGAAGATCCCCCGGAGGAGGAAATGGCAACCCACTCCAATATTTTTGCCTGGGAAATCCCTGGACAGGGGAGCCTACAGTCCATGGGGTCACAATAGAGTCAGACACGACTCAGCAACTAAACAACAATAATAAAATAGGAAAATTATAACATACTATAATAAAAGTTACATGAATGTGGTCTAAGTATCTTGTACAAATTAAATGCCTTTTTCCATCTTAACTACACACTTATCACACTGTGTCCATAATTTTTGCAGTTTGAGCTGCAACAGTAAAACTAGCATGGATTTCTTTTTCCTTCTTCACAATGTCACCTATAGATTTCTTCTTCTTGTAGCTTAAACAATTGCAACATACAATTGGTTTTCTGTCTTCACTAAGTTAAGAGCTTTCAGTTTTTCACCTAAAGAAATACTTTGGCTTATTGGAATCACCAGCTTTGGGGCCATTCTTAAGTAAAATAAAGATTATTTGAACACAAGTACTGTGATACGTAAATAACTGAGAGGGTTACTAAGTGATTAATGGATGGTATACACTGGACCAAAGGATGATGCATAGTGAGGAGGGTCAGAAAGTTTTCATTATGCTACTCAGAATGACAAGCAGTTTAAAATACACGAATGGTTTATTTCTGGAATTTTCCCACTTAATATTTTCAGACAGAGGTTGACCATGATAACTAAAACCTCGGAAAGTGAAAATGCAGTTAAGAAAGGACTAACAGAGCTAGCTGAACCAATGTCTCCTCTGTGCATATCCAATTAAGACAAGAACACCCTATACATTTGATCAACCCTCAACACAAGTAGATGGAACACATAACTAAATAAAACCATTTTTCTCCAGACAGGAATCAAATTAGCCAAGCCCACACTCACAGTCAGAGTAAAGTCGTAACAGTCCGGGAGCTCATGATGACGAATGGTCTGCAGGTTAATGGCCTTCAGTTTGAACTGCAGCTCCACTGTTATGAGTCTGGAAAACAGGAGACTTTAGTGCAGTGAAAACGTACACACAAACAGGAGTTCCCTCCCACCTGCCTCCCTCACCTGTGAAAGTCCAGTGTTAAGTTGAGTTTATTTTCTTCTGGTGTTCCAATGTGAAAAGGTTCATTTGGTTCCACAAATAAACATTCTGCCATAGAAAGGAACAAAACATAATATAGCACCTGAAATAAACATAGAAAACTGCATCTTGAAAGGATCATCTAATGAAAACTGAATATTCAGATTCTGGCATTTTTGTGAATTAAGATTTTTAAATCTAAACATCCATACCACATGGTTATTTGTTTGTAAGATGTGACTATAACATTTCTTGAGTGGATGGAGGTAGAGGAAGATCTGAACTCTATTTTCACTAATCTTGTATAGAAGGCCATCTTCCTTTCTGTCTTTTTCAGCCTAAATTTTGAGGCCCCTCTCCCTTTTTGATTCCTATGCATACATTTGAAGTACCTAGAGTGTCTAAGATAAAATTTTCTATGTTTAAAGTATCTATTTTTAAAAAATATTATTTGTTGACAATTTTCCCTCAATAAACACTTTAAAAAAAAAAGGAAGACAGCATCTTAGAAGGTTTTTACTAGTCAGTACTATAATCCTTTATTAGTTTTCTCAAAGAAAAAGTCCCAGTGGCTACTGCTAAAAGTACTTATTTTTTAACTCAATGACATAAGCTAATGTTTTAGATACAAATTGTAAATAGAACTTTGTTAATAGGAATAAGCTATGCTATTCTAAATTCTGGTTCTCACTCGTGGTGGTTTAGTTGCTAAGTTGTGTCTGACTCTTTGCAACTCCATGGACTGTAGTCCACCAGGCTCCTCTGTTCATGGGATTTCCCAGGCAAGAATACTGGAGTGGGTTGCTATTACCTTCTCCAGGGGATCTTCCTGACCTAGGAATTGAACCCAGGTCTCCTGAACTGCAGGCATATCTCTAACTGACTGAACTACGAGGGAATCTCATTACTCCTCAACTTACCCCCAAAGATACTGAATAGTGAAGTACTATTGAGGGGACAAAGTTTTATATATTATATATTCAAGAATTTGCAAACATTTGTTTTATAAGGGCAATATCTATCTTTTAAACTGGCTTATCCAGAAGAGAGGTTATGGAATAAAATGGCTAAGAGCACAGCCTGGGTCAAATTTCAGCACTATCTCTTAGTAGGTCCACCTTGAGCAGATTACTAAACCTTCTGAGCCACACTTTAGTCTTCTCTAAAATTAGGATAATAATAAGCTTGTCTTGTTGATTTTTTGTTTGTTGGTTTGTTTAAGAATCATGAGCTATAGTGAAGTACCTGGCATAACTGATATTGTTCTTACTATGACCTAATAGCACAGGCCAAATCAATATTTTCAGAGATGAAATTACTGACTTTAAATCAAGGAGTTAAAAATGGAAGTTCTAGCTTATAGAAGAATATCACCAGTTTCAATTTCTGGATCAATGTCAAAGGTATCATTTCCAGGATAGATGTTTCCTTGCTTGTAGAAGTGCCAGCAGACTGCCAGGGCTGACTGCTCCGTGCCCTTGTTCTCGAATGCATGATTCCCAACTGAGACGTTGCATAGCTGCAAGTACTTCAACCAAAAAGAGAAACAGAAAATGAGAGCACCCAGGCAGGCAGAAGTGAAGCCATGATTCCCCTCCCTCCCTGCCTTTGAAACGGTAGGTTCCCACCTCCTGTCCAGGTGGAGACTGGAAAGTAATTGACATGCTACCGTGCACTGGGATGGCAGAGGGCAAAGAGCACTTGTGAATTAGAGTTTTGGGTTCAAGTCTCATTTCTGTGATTGTGAGCAAGTCACAAACTTTATCAGCCTCTGCTTTCTTACCTGCAAAATTAAAGGCTGAATTTAACCTTAAATAACATTTCAAGTTCTTTCCTCCTTTAAAGAACTATGTTTAGGAAGTGACTTTTACATTTAATATGAGTACAAACTTTATCTTTGAACTATTTTCTATAGTCAAGAGTTCTGCTTTACTATAAAATAGGAAGTGGGATAAAACTGTTTCAGACTAACCAGCAAAACTTCTTCTAAAGATAATTTTTTTTTAATCTTTATCTTTGCAAGAATACAGCTTAGTCAGTTTTAAGCAATATTCCCCTACTGAAAGTCCTCCCATGATTTCCTGTGTCTCAGGATAAACTTAAAAGCTCTTTTCCAGGGCCTAGAAAGCCGTACTTCTGGCTCTTCCCTCACTCCTTTGCACACTTGCTTTAAACATACTAAACGTTTTCCAGCCTCCAGGGCCTTCGCTGTTGCCACTCCATCAGCCTGAAATATTCTTCCTCACACCTCAAGTCCCCAGAGAAGCCTTTTCTGATCATCTTGAGACTACTGTTCATGTTTCATGCCACCTAATTTTTTTTTCATAGCAGTCATCACTGTTGGAAATCAAATTATCTTGCTAAATTTGTTTAAAATCCATCTCTTCCATTAGAATCTAAGTTCCACAGGGCAAGGAATTTATTAAGCCCACTGCACTAACCTCAGCACTTAGAACCATATTGTAAGCAGACAGGCTGGGCAGGGGGCGGTCCCTGGAGAAAGAGAATGCGGGTGATTTTGCTGTAAGAGAAGGCATTTTTGGCCTCGGCCTTTTTGGATCAAATGCTGGTCCTTAAGGACCTTAGTAATTAATAATATTGAGGGGACAAACGAACATAGAAACAAATGACTATTATCAGACAAGAGAAGTAACAACAGCATAGATAACACATCCATTGTAAAGATTCCCAGTGCTGTTTCAGTGGTAAAGATTAGCCCGTAACACAACCTTTCCTGACCCTCATGACTTCCGTCAACTAAAACTTGGACTCGTCGACTGCCCAGGCCCCTTCATAAATATGCAGGCGTCCTTAACTTAAAAGTTTCCCAATTTTACAGTCCCAGGAGACACTGCTTTGAGAAAGATCCCTGGTGTTCTCCTTATTTGCTGCAACTAATAAATCCTTCCTTCTGATTTTTGGCTTGGCTGGTTCTTTTTGCTCAATATCCACCAAGAGGCAAACCCAGCTTTCAGACAAGAATACACAGAGGACATGCTCAGATATTTGTCAAGTTAATGGTGAGGTGAAAAACTATAATATGACAGAGGATCTTCACCCACTAGAGCTCATCTACACACAGGAAGATGGTAAACTGCTAGGATAGGATTTGTTATGGCACCAACATTTCTGCTAGCACTGGGACTGGGAAAATGCGCCAGAAATCTATAGTAACATAATTAAGCTGCATAAATCATTAAATAGTATCATGTCTTGCATCTAGAGGAAATAGTATAATGCTAGACATATTTAGTTTTGAGATATTTCCCATACAAGGAAATAAGTGCCTTAAGTCTTTCTAAAGCTACTCAGAGTCCAATTGGTAGTTTTATATTGGGACATGGGGGAGTAAGAGGAATGCAATATATCAAATGAAAAAAGAAGTAAAAGATATTGAATGTGGTAAGGTACCACGGAGACCAATATGCCTGAAATGTGAGATATGTAACAGGCAGTAAAGCCAGAAAGGCAGGCAGGGGTCACACCTGTTTGGGCCCCTGTAGCCCTTCTGAGTGCCCGCTCCCTGTGAAGCAGTCCAGACAGGAATTACTTAAAGATCTGAACCTCCTATCATAGAAACTTGTGTCTTAAACCTTATAAGATCTTGAAACACAAAAGATCCAAGCTGTAGGCCTTCAGGTACACGCTATTTTTATAAGTTATTCTACAGCCAGACTTCCTTGCTGTCTTAATAAGGCTCCTTATAGAGTCTGAGAGCTTCCCAGGCACTAGCAGTAAAGAACCTGCCTGCCAATGTAAGAGACTCAGGTTTGATCCCTAGGTTGGGAAGACCCTCTGGAGGAGGAAATGGAAACCCACTCCAGGATTCTTGCCTGGAGAATCCTATGGACAGAGGAGCCTGGTGGGCTACTATCCATAGGGTCACGAAGAGTTGGATATGACTGATGTGACAGCACGTGAGGTCTGAGCACCTACAGAGCTGGAAGGTGTGGACAAAGAGTGTTGCCTGCCATTCCCATAAACAACAAGTGTTGCCAGCCATCAAGCCTTCAGCCACTGCAGTGGTGCTGAGGGTATGCCCTGAGGGGAATTCAGGATGGAGAAAAACAGGATACTTGCCCTGGATGGTTGAGATGTATATCAAAGCAATAACTGCCATTAGGCCAGATTCATCTTCCCAGAAAATCATTAGCTTGAGATATCTGGGGTTTTTTTTTTGTGATTAGCAGTCATCTTTTGATGTTCCACTACATGGTTTTCATTTTGTTTTCTGCAAAAACCCTGTTTGGAATAGTCTCTCAGAGCTATCTGAGAGGCTGCCTTCCTGGACTACAGTCCTCGGTGATGTCCTTGAATAAAACATAATTCTCAACTTTTAGGTTATGCTTTTTTTTTCCAGTCAACAATGGTCAGGGGCAAGTAGCAGAACTGTGGCCAGCTAAAGGGCCAATCTGGAGCCTGAGTCAAAAGACTCTGGGAGCGGCAGGTGGTATAGGACTATCACTGAAAGGCAGGTGACCTCTAGCACTGACTAATGGGGCACCGAAGTGGCTGTGACTTCTGTCGGGCTCTAATGAGGCTGGCATCTGTCCCCACTTGCCTCTGCAGCTCCACCTTGAAAGAACTAGTTTTTCACACAGATTCATGGGTCCTAGGGCATCCTTTGGGAGACTATATAAAAATATATAAAAATCCTTACCTGAGAAATGTGGCACCCAAAGTAAAGCAGATTAAACAGCTTGTTCCTTGATTACAAATGCATTTTTTTTGTGGTCTCCCTGTGATTACCTGATCTGAACACATGAATCTTTTGAGCTCATTCATTCATTCACAAACATTTGAGTGCCTGGTATGTACCTCCATCTTCATGGAATAAATATATTAATATGTGGCACTGAACACTATTATGAAATGAGGAGTACCCCACAGTCAAATCTGTGATTTCAGGTGAATCATTTAGAATAAACTGCCAAGAAGTGGTAGAACAGGTGGGAGGGAAAGAGGGTAACCAACTAGAAGTAGGGATTTATAGACTGTGTTTGAGCTGAAAAAGTAAGTGGTCCCAAGATCCTGAGACCTTTAAATCTAAGCAACTGATCAGAAAGAGAAGCAGCTCTGAGAAGTAGGTGGGAAAAGAACATGCACCTGCTTTGAACACAGTGATTCTGAGGAGCTTGTGAGCTCTCTTCACACAACAGTGTGAGCAACTGTTTTGGAAACATCTGTCTTGGTGATGGGTGACAGTGGGGGAATTTCTGCAGGAAAAGGACAGACCTTTGAGGACAGCCCTAAGTCAAGAGGCAGCTGAAAGAAGGAACCCAGTAAAGTCGACCCAAACATGACTGATGAAAGCCAGGATACAGCATTAAAATAACTAGGTCTCTGACATTCCAATACATAAACAGACATACTAAACAAGAGTGATGCTGTTACAACCAGTGTTAAATCAGAATAAGCCCTAGAGATGATTCAGTTAGATGACATTTTAGGGCTCCACTCTTCAGGAAAACTAGTCATGGATATAACTCTAAGGACTGAGATGCTACTGTCTTACCTGTCAGTTCTTGGTGACTATCACCTCAACTATCAGAGTATTTCCTTACAGCAGACAAAGATGTTTCTTTCATATCAGTCCGTGTTTCCCCTATTCACTTCTCTGGAATCATGTAGAATAACTGACCTTATTAACCACAAACACTTTATTCACTAATATTATGGTTAAGATACTTTTTTACCTTCAGTTTAAAATGCATGATAGTGCTTGGTAGATGGTAGGGAGTCACTTGCCCAAGGTAAACTCTACCCCCAAGTAGTATTTACCTATTTACTAGCACAAGGAATCTACCTACATGCAATTCTATTAAAAAAAAAAGAAATCTGATAAACAGAACTGCCTGAATGCCAAATACTATATCTTTACGACTGCTTTTAACCTTAATAATAGAGGTAAAAATGTTTTAGGAAGAATTTATTGAACTGTTTATCTCTTGTCTCTACCCACTCCTCCTGTCAAAAACAAATTACTAATTTGCTTCAGAGTAATTTAGATAAACTTAGGAATCTTAAAACAAGATTCTCAAAACTTAGTATCTCCAGAATTTTACTACTATTTGACCTTACAAACTGTATGACATAATTCTATTTAACAATGCATGTAGTTTACTTCTATTATTATAGATTTCTGGACAATTTTTGTAATCTGAATGCTATCAGAAAGTCTTAGTGTCACAAATATGTATTTTATCCTATAGTTTGTCTCTGGGAAAATGAAAAGCCCTAATTACACTATGAACATGAAAATTACACACATGAACAGTATGAAAAGGCAAAAAGATATGACACTGAAAGATGAACTCCCCAGGTTGGTAGATGCCCAGTATGCTACTTGAGATCAGTGGAGAAATAACTCCAGAAAGAATGAAGGAATGGAGCCAAAGCAAAAACAACACCCAGTTGTGAATGGGACTGGTGATGGAAGCAGGGTTCGATGCTGTAAAGAGCAATATTGCATAGGAACCTGGAATGTTAGGTCCATGAATCAAGACAAAGTAGAAGTTGTCAAACAGGAGATGACAAGAGTGAACATGGACATCCTAGGAATCAGTGAACTAAGATGGACTGGAATGGGTGAATTAAACTCAGATGACCATTATATCTACTACTGTGGGCAGGAATTGCATAGAAGAAATGGAGTAGCCATCATAGTCAACAAAAGAGTCTGAAATGCAGTACTTGGATGCAATCTAAAAAACGACAGAATGATCTCTGTTTGTTTCCAAGGCAAACCATTCAATATCACGGTAATCCAAGTCTATGCCCCGACCAGTAATGCTGAAGAAGCTGAAGTTGAATGGTTCTATGAAGACCTACAAGACCTTACAGAACTAACACCCAAAAAAGATGTCCTTTTCATTATAGGGGACTGGAATGCAAAAGTAGGAAGTCAAGAAACACCTGGAGTAACAGGCAAGTTTGGCCTTGGAGTACAGAATGAAGCAGGGCAAAGGCTAATAGAGTTTTG